ATCTAAGTTGTACAGTTAACACCAAAAAGGCAGCTTACTCTTGATCCATAACCAGGTAAAACCACTCCATCATTTAGACTAATTATTAGTCTAAATGATGGAGTGGTTTTAGACTAATTATTAATCTAAATGATGGAGTGGTTTTAGACTAATAATTAGTCTAAATGATGGAGTGGTTTTACCTGGTTATGGATCAAGAGTAAGCTGCATTTTTGGTGTTAACTGTACAACTTAGACGTACATGGTCATCAACCATTTCAAAGAAAACAATAAATTATAGATTAACTCGAGCAGGCAGCTGCTGAGTTTCAAACTCAGATAGCGTCAAAATGTTTGTGAAGCATTGAACGCCATTCATATACTTACATACACTTTCCCTGTAGAAGACGAGGTGAACCATTTATGAACCCACCAACCTGAATTTTTTCTTCCTTCAGCATGGCCTGTACTCAGCCTTTATGGGCTGTTTTGTCTACTGTTTCCTGGGTACGTCCAAGGACATCACACTCGGTCCTACAGCCCTGATGTCACTGATGATGGCTCAGTACGCAGAAGGACAACCAGCTATCGCCATCGCACTGTGCCTGTTTACTGGACTTGTTCAATTTGTAATGGGTATCTTGCGCCTTGGTGAGTACAGTGTCACATATTAGCAACATACTTGGGATAATTTTGATTAAAGACTCTGCATATCATATACAGGTGTATATATGTAGGACAGAATGTTTTGGGTAAGTAGGCACTCACTCACTCACTCACTCACTCACTCACTCACTCACTCACTCACTCACTCGAGTCACTGCTCTCCATCTCTTCCTATCCTGCATTTTACGAAAGACCATAGGAACAAAACGTTAAACAGACGACAAGCTTAAACAGACGACGAGCTTAAACAGACGACGAGCTTAAACAGACGACGAGCTTGCTTAAACAGACAACGGGCTGGCTGAAACAGACGACGAGCTTGCTGAAACAGACGACGAGCTTGCTGAAACAGACGACGAGCTGAAACAGACGACGAGCTAGCTGAAACAGACGACGAGCTTGCTGAAACAGACGACGAGCTTGCTGAAACAGACGACGAGCTGAAACAGACAACGCGCTTGCTGAAACAGACGACGAGCTGGCTGAAACAGACGACGAGCTGGCTGAAACAGACGACGAGCTGAAACAGACGACGAGCTGGCTGAAACAGCGAAGGAGCGACGCTCCCGCTCCAAGGCTGGAAACCCTGGCTCCTTGTATAGTGTACGGTCCCTTCTGAGTGACACCAGATGCTGTCTATGGCCCTGTTCAGACGGAATCAGTGAACGCGCCTTACATGTGTTGATGATATGAATGATATGAATGTTAGACATCCAGGTAAGCAATACTCATAGGAAATTCAAACTCCTACTACTGGATAAGTTATGGAGATAATATCCGGACGTTTCAAGTGACATTCACCACTCTTCTTTAGCGTCACTAAAGAACTAACGTTAACTTTGTTAATTGATTTGTTTATTGCAAATTCATGCCCGAGGGCTAATCGCATACATACATTGACAAGAAAAATGTGGTGATATAAAACTATTTGCTAACATGAACTTCTACGTGTACGACATACTTATCATACTTATGAACTTGACCAATAAGGCGCGAGCGCACGTACACACACAACAAACCTACACATACTAATCAATACAAGGTGGAAGGATGGCAAAATGTCAGCAACTAACTTATTGTGTGGTGGAAAGTTGTAGAAAGTATGGAGGTGGAAAGTCAGAAAGGCGAAATTGTTCAGTTCATTACGACCAGTACAGTAAACAGACAGCCAGGCAGGCAAGCACATTTTTCAACTCGATGTGAAAAGTGTTATAATCTGACAGACAAAAGAGTGTCATTCTTTGATGGGCACCCCGAAGGTGCTATAAACCGAACGACCCCTGATGGGTTTTATAGCAGGAAGATGGTGACGGCTGTTTAGAAGTGGAGAGTCTGTTTAGAAGTGGAGAGTAGCTCAATTGTGCTTTATCGTGTTCTGTTAACTCCCAACCCATTTATTTTTCAAAGAGTCCGTTAATTCATCTCCCACTGCCTCCTGAGATTAAGTCAAACCCCCCAATAGCATGACAAGAATAGTTTAATAGAATAGAACGAATTAGAATAGCAGTTACCTTGTTCCTATTACCTGTTCTCATATTGCATACTAGTATTTACTTTTTTTTATCCTGTATGTGTCGTTCGTCCGTCAGGTTGACGAGGACCTGTATGTATACCAACGTTATTAGATTTAAGTACAGATAGTAGGTTCGATAAGTATGTCGTACACGTAGAAGTTCATGTTAGCAAATAGTCTTATATCACCACATTTTTCTTGTCAATGTATGTATGCGATTAGCCCTCGGGCATGAATTTACAATAAACAAATCAATTAACAAAGTTAACGTGAGCTCTTTAGTGACGCTAAAGAAGAGTGGTGAATGTCACTTGAAACGTCCGGATATTATCTCCATAACTTATCAAGTAGTAGGAGTTTGAATTTCCTATGAGTATTGTTTACCTGGATGTCTAACATTCATACCATTCATATCATCAACACATGTAAGGCGCTTTCACTGATTCCGTCTGAACAGGGCCATAGACAGCATCTGGTGTCACTCAGAAGGGACCGTACACTATACAAGGAGCCAGGGTTTCCAGCCTTGGAGCGGGAGCGTCGCTCCTTCGCTGTTTCAGCCAGCTCGTCGTCTGTTTCAGCTCGTCGTCTGTTTCAGCCAGCTCGTCGTCTGTTTCAGCCAGCTCGTCGTCTGTTTCAGCAAGCGCGTCGTCTGTTTCAGCCAGCCCGTTGTCTGTTTAAGCAAGCTCGTCGTCTGTTTAAGCTCGTCGTCTGTTTAAGCTCGTCGTCTGTTTAAGCTCGTCGTCTGTTTAGCAAGCTCGTCGTCTGTTTTAGCTCGTCGTCTGTTTTAGCTCGTCGTCTGTTTAGCTCGTCGTCTGTTTCAGCTTGTTGTCTGTTTCAGCTAGCTCGTCGTCTGTTTCAGCCAGCTCGTCGTCTGTTTCAGCTCGTCGTCTGTTTCAGCAAGCGCGTCGTCTGTTTCAGCCAGCTCGTCGTCTGTTTCAGCAAGCGCGTCGTCTGTTTAAGCTCGTCGTCTGTTTTAGCTCGTCGTCTGTTTTAGCTCGTCGTCTGTTTCAGCTTGTTGTCTGTTTCAGCAAGCTCGTCGTCTGTTTATTAGCTCGTCGTCTGTTTCAGCAAGCTCGTCGTCTGTTTCAGCCAGCCCGTTGTCTGTTTAAGCAAGCTCGTCGTCTGTTTAAGCTCGTCGTCTGTTTAAGCTCGTCGTCTGTTTAAGCTCGTCGTCTGTTTAACGTTTTGTTCCTATGGTCTTTCGTAGCATTTCTACCATCAGGTTTTTCCTGTTCTATGCAAAAAAAATTATGCCCAAGAGACAAATTAAACAAATCTGACGTTCTTCTTCAATAGACATTTTAGCAGATATGTTTACGTTGCATGGCCTGTGGTACAATTTTTCATCCTTGTGATGGTTTGTTGTCTCCCCAAACCACAGGTTTCCTGCTGAATTTCATGGCTGTTCCAGTCAACTCAGGGTTTGTCACTGCTGCTGCCATCATCATTGGATTTGGACAGTTGAAGGTGAGGACCATGATTGATTAAAGTATTTTTTTATGAAAAAATTGAATGTTTTGACATCTTTGAAATTTTGAAACAATGGAACAGGAATCTTAAAATTTGGACAATATTCTGCATATGACGAAAAAATGGAAAATGTTTTTCAGAATTAGATTTTTGAAGTCGATGATCTGAAAGATTTGTCACAGTGATTGATTGATACAATGAGAATTGTTTTGTGTACATTCAGCATGTAACTTAGTAGTATGTTGACATAGAAAAGTTTCTATTCTCTGAGGGAATATGGGCTTTAACTTCTTGCAGTCAAAGTAGCAAATGTTGATAGCCTGAGCTGAAATGATTGATGTACAACATGTCATGTATTTCCAGCTTATCCTGGGATTAAAGGGTGTAAGGAAACCCTTCATGTGGAACATTTATGACACTTTCAGGAAGATAGAAGAAACAAAGTAAGTCAGACATATCAATTATGCCACTTTATCATAATGAATGTAAATTTGTCTTGGAGCAACTGTAAGGATATTTTACAAGTTATTAAAATAAAGAACATAGTCTAAGAAGAATTAACAATTATGCGTACTGTTAACAGTTACATTTTTGTAATGTGAATATTCAACCTGATGCATATGCATAGATTGTTGCTGCTTTGTGAAACTCACTCTCCTATCCTTTTCTCACCATGTTGAAAATGTAGTTGTGTTTATATTCTGTGTTTGTGTCTGACAGTTACTGGGACCTGACACTTGGACTCATCTCTTTTATAACACTGTTGGTACTGAAGTTTATAAAAGACAGAGATTGGGACAAAGGCAGGGATTCAGGCATACCTCTCACTCGAGTACAGAGGGTGTGCCGTAAGACTATATGGCTGGTTGGAACAGGTAAGAATTTCTCATCACATTTTACCTTTCAAAATGTCTGCATCTCATGTCTGTGCAATCTTATGTACATTTTTGCCCAATGTAATGTTGATCATTGGACACAAAGTACCAGCCATCAAATGTTAGTTTTGTTAGTTACAAAAAAAAAAGTTACTGTTCAGCATCCATGGCTCATATAAAAGAAAACAAACAAAGAGTTACATGTTCTATTGCATTAATCTTAAGACCAAAGTCTTGTCCTTCTGTTTTGTTCACTGTAGCAAGAAATGCCATTATTGTATTGGTGACGACAATCATTGCTGGGGTTCTCTATGTCTACAACATCAAACCCTTCACAATGACTAAAGAAGTGCCACCAGGGTTCCCACCAGTGAGGCCCCCTAGCTTCTCCTACCAGCATGGCAACCACACTGTGGAGGGGGAAGAGTTTTTTACGGTCAGTATATTAGCCTGGGGGCAGGTCTATATAAAACATCATTAACTAGGCAGTATGATCCTCAACTGCATGTGTAATATTGCAGACATGTGAGAAGACTTTTGATCTGATGCTTAATAAGAAGAACAGATTGTAGTGTCATGGTTTTGTACATAATATTACTTAGGTATTTTCCAACACTATTATAGGGATACATTCCCAACTTTAATAGTCAGCTAAATGTCTTTTCAGCAGTTTACATCATTACAGATCTTCGATTTCAGTTGTTGTTTTTTTTTATCTTGCAGCATCTTGGAGCTGGTGTAGCAGTTATACCTATGATAGGTTTGCTGGAAAATATTGCCATTGCCAAAGCTTTTGGTAAGTTCAGAGGATGACACCTTTCTTGTTCAGTTACAGAGCTTTTAAAGATTTTACCATGTTGTAGGTATTTGTAATATGAGAACATTCTATAGTCATCCGGAGTGCTCTTCTACTTTGCTATAATCAAAGATACGTACTAACATACAACCTCTCGTCTTCTTTTATACAGCCAGCAAGAATAGATACACCATTGATGCCACACAGGAGCTGTTTGCATTGGGTTTGTACTCTCACTCACTCACTCACTCACTCACTCACTCACTCACTCACTCACTCACTCACTCACTCACTCACTCACTCACTCACTCACTAACTAACCAACTAACTAACTAACTAACTAATGTAGCTGTACTCACATTCTGGTAGATCAGCTGGGCAGCTGTCTCTTCTGACCACTCTTTAACATTGCTGATCAATGGTCGTCAGGGATGGCCCTGTGGCCGCACACCCTCCGCCTTTCCGTTCATGCTATTATATAGTTTCCTTGCCTTTTGTTCATATCCTTAGATGCATTTTCTTTCTGTAATTCTGTAGATGTCAGTGATTTTAAAGAGAGTATGTTTGCCTGCCATTTCCTTTATTTGGTCTTTTGAATTGTTTTCCAGGCATTGCCAACACGGTTAGCTCTTTCTTTGGCTCGTATCCTGTTACTGGCAGTTTTTCCAGAACAGCAGTCAACTCCGCCAGTGGAGTCATGACCCCAATGGGCACAATCTTCACAGGTTAGTTCATGTTGTCACCAGTCATGTGTAGGATGTCTGTCATTCAGGAGATGTGTGGACAAGTCTTTTAGTGACACAAAAAGTACTGTATGTGCAGGCTGCTGTTCTGTTTTATGCTGCTAGATGGCAGCACTGCCTGGCAGAGATAACAGCTAACTGCTCCTGCCTAGGTAAAATAAAAGTTTGATATAGTCTCTAAAAAGTTTTCATTGTCAGTAAGTCAATAACAGTAAAGGATTTTTTACAGTGCAGTTCATCTTCCAATGTAATAGGTATGTTCAATACCTGTATGCAATAGTTTCCAAAGTGCAAGATTAAGTTCTCTAGATATACAGCCATAGGCCTCTAGCTCTTATTCCATGTCTGGCATTGTGCCCAGTCTGAGAAAGACTTAGGTTGTCTCTCACACTTTGCCTTGTGCTATGTCAGGACTGTGTACAGTATACCTTTAATGTATATTACTCCAGTAGTAAAGTATGTTGTCTGTCCACAAGTTGTTGTTTTTTTTGGCTGGTCTGAGATGATGATCCCTGACTTTTACAGAAAATATCTGACACTTGATCTAGGACTAGTAGGAGCTTAAGTACAAATTGACATGTTATTCTACTTCAACGTATGATCCTCAGGTACCAACTCTATTTCATCTAGTGTGGTGCCCAAGTATTTACAGTCCTGATCTTAATAGCATTTCTGTTAACTTAATGTTTTTTTCCTGTTCCATTGCAGGGACACTAGTGATCCTGGCCACTCTGTTCGTGACTCCTTACTTCATGTACATCCCCAGTGCTGCCCTGGGAGCTGTCATCATCGCTTCTGTCATCAACATGGTGGAGTTTGAGCACATCACAGAACAGTGGAGGGTTCACAGTCAGTAACGTTGGCTTTTTGTCAGTAACTTTGCATATTTGCTTTTCCCCTAAAGCCACTGAGAAGGGAAATGCCTCTTGTACATATCTACCCCTTGCTCTGCAACCTTTTGCCATTTTCACATGATCCCAAGTCCACTACATTCCCTTAATATGAAATATGTATGGTTTAATTTTGAAACTTGAGCCCCAGTTCTCTCTATCAGTTGCCCGTCCTTGCCCTGAGCTTTGGATGTGTCCTCATTGATGCCATATGAATGTGGATTATGTGCCCATCAGAGCACAGGCGTCCCATCAAGGATCAGACTAATAGGCCATATCTGAGTCAGAACTTGGCATACAGCAGTCAGGGATAATGCATATTGGAAATGTGTCATCAATTCATTAGTCAAAAATGCTCAGTATGACACTTCACAGGTCAACACCCCTGATTGGATGGCAATTAATACAGGGAGAATCATTGTAAAGATTAACAGATGACTCTGCATAGCCAATAGTACTTTCAATTTGTTTGTGCATATCAGTTGAATATATGACTTTACTGATTTCCACCCTTTTGCATTTTATTGAATATTAAGCTATAGATTGTAAATGTGTGGCCTTTGTTTACTTTACGGTTATAATTTGACATACATGTAATCATAATTGCTTTCTTAAAACTAAATATTCTTTGAATTTGTTCCTTTCTTTTGTTGCAGAGCCAGATGTTTTCGTTTGGGTTATTACCTTCTTTTGTGTCTTATTCTTGGGCATTGAGGTGAGTTGTTATAATTCTGAATTTATGTGAGTACCAAATACACCTCATACATACATATACATGTATACATCATGTCGAACCAAGTAACACAAAAATTGAAAGGATGAAAGTTCCAATGCTTTATTTCAGTAAAAGAGTGAAGTGTGGAGATTGCAGATGGTAATATGTCTCTTTGAATCAAATGTGCCTAATAGATGCTTATCCTAAATCTCCTCTATTTCTGCTTTTATCAGCTTTAAGTTGCAGAATAGTTGTGCTCTTTTTAACTTTTTCATGTCTTATAGATTTAATACGTAACTCTATCTGTCCCAAAGGTTAACCCTGCTCTGAATGTTATGCCCCTGATAAAGAAGAGTCTTGATAACTCCTAAGACCTTACGCACCATGATTACAGGAAGATTGATGTACTTTACGGTTGAACATTTATCAGTGTGGCAGGTTAATACAGCTTGGTGTTCGCAGATATGTTTCATCACTCCATGGCTGATGTTTTTATGATTATCAGTAAAACATCTGTTGTGGTCTCCTCCCTTTAAGTATCACTGGAGACTGCATATGATTTCATATAGATCTACAATCTTGACATATTATTGATTTCAAGGTGTTGGCTAGGCAATGAGAAATATGGGGAGTATTCAGTAGGGATTTCAAATAAATTCAATAACAATGTTCTAACTTTTCTTCTGACAAACTAGTTATCAAAACTTGCAAAATCCCATGTCTGGCAAAATTTAGATAATTGTAAAATATCAGCCTTGCCTGAAAAAGATAGTGTTCAATAAATTACAAGAAGGAAGTAATTAAGGCTATAGAATTAAGACATAATGTGATTAAAGTAATGGGGTTACATAATAACAACAAACCAAACAAGGTGTGACAACTAGTATCGGTATTTAATTGCATTTTATGTGCAGTGTACCATTTTTAGAAATAACTGATGCCTCCATTTGTAATTGCCGATAAGAACCAACCTTTGCAAATGCAATGACTGATTGCCAACATCAAGGAAACATACACTCAGTTTCTTACTGCCACCTGTGACTAGTAGATCGTGTGGATTATACAGGAGTCTTCTCTTTTCTCACTTTTTTCCTATACGCGTGTCTTCACCGCCTAGGTCTTTTCCTGTAGATGTCCACATCTTGTGTCGTCTGGTATGTCTTCTTCTAGTCTCCTTCATTTCTGCTCTTTCTTGCCTTTTCATCAGGGGTGTGCAAAACTGTCAACTTAAGCTTTAGGTGGATCCAAAGAACACATCATATGATGTCATGATCATTGGACATTGGAAAATGTGGTAATTCTGCCAGAAGAACTTTTCTTTTGATAAGTCTTCTCATGACTAAATGTTTTGATCCTACAGTATGGCATCCTTGCTGGAGTGGGGGTGGCACTGGCTCTTTTGCTTTACAACACAGCAAAACCTGCCACCAGGGTATGGATGTTTCCTTCAAGTTCTTTGTTTTCATTATGATGTCTTTTTTGTTCAAATATGTAATTGACCATCGAATACATAAATATTTGTTAATGTCAACCAATTAGTGTGTGTGTGTGTGTGTGTGTGTATGAGCGTGTGTGTGTGAGCGCGCGTGTGTGTGTCTGCATCTGTGTCTGTATCTGTGCATGTCTTTTCTGTCTCTGTTGAAAAGGTAGGCTCAACTTTGTATTACTTTCATTGATCAGGTTGAATACACCACATCATACCCAGAGATTGGTATTGTGAGGCTGGACAGTGGTCTGTACTTCCCTGCATCTGATTCAATCAAAGCAACTCTTCATGATGCTGGGCTCAATGGTAAGTGTCAAAACAACTGATATACCATGTATTCATTGACTATGAAATTACAGAGTAAAGGAGGTGGCCATGGGGTGGAATTGAATCATTTTGGTGCATGTTTGAAGTGCATCAATTATATCTTTATGACCAGAGTTGTTGGTCATGGTGTTTCATGTACAATCAATGTACATTACATAGTCTCTTTTAATATTGAGTCATAAAGATTACAACCATTTGGATAATTGTTTTATCTTTTGTTTTCAGAGAAACCATATAAGCCAGTGATTATGGACCTGACTCATCTATCCCATCTGGACTTCAGTGTTGTCAGGGTAGGTCATGGTATTCTTCAACCACAAGTTCAAAAGATGAAACAATCTATCATCAGGATTCTGTATCTGTAGCAGGACTCCGTGTTTTAATACTACTTTGACATACTAGTATTGTTGGTACTATCTGATGCCAGTAGATAAAATGCATGTACATGTACATGTATGCATCTATTGATATCAGATAGTAAGCCTAGGGCTAATAATAGCTAAAATAATATTCTATAAGCCAGAAAGGAAATAGCTATATATTTTCCTAATCCCAGCAGATATTAAACTTTGTGTAATCTGTATTAAACATTTGATTGAATTTTCAGGCTCTGGGACGATCTGTGGAGGAATACGATCTCAACAATACCACCCTGTATTTTGCTTGCCTCAGGGTAAGTCATTGTTGGTGCTGTTTCCCCAGTCTTGAGCTTATTCACGTTATTGCAGCACTTATAAAGAGAGTTTTTGAGAGTTTTTGGTCACATTTCAATATATGACAGTTTAGTTCTGGCATCAAGTCTTAAAGTACATGTACATTGTACATGCAATAAGTAACTGTTATGATGTTTTGTTATACAATTTAGCATTGGTGAATTCTTTCTTCTGATGAACATTGAAGTCTAGCCCAAGCTGATAACATCTTGTACTTACTGTTGAAATAATCATGGCAAGGACTTACATTTTACAGTTGTCATGATGATCATGAACGTCTATTTGTTGTTCCTACAGGAAGATTTGGAGGAGAAGATTAACCAAGCCCACATCAAGAACCTGCGGTGCTTCCCTACAGTGCAGGAGGCTGTGGATGCCATACAGGGTCAGTCCTGTGTGACGTTTGTTATGATAGTAACTCTAACAATGATAAATTATCAGTTTAGTGTAGGAGGGACAGATTAAGGATATGAGTAATGAAACCGATACACGGTCAAATGAATGAAGCACAGACTGAAGCTTTCAGATGACATCAGTCGTCTTTCTTCAGCTGCTAAGGAGGATAGTCACTTGACCTGGAGGTTAAGGGATTCAAAAAATGTTGTGACATTTCTGTTGCTCAAAGAATAGTATTTGATGGCAGATTCGACAAAGTCCATGCTATTCCTAATAACTTCTTTTTCTTTTCCACATCAGAGTCAACAGTAGACGGGGATGTGAGTCAGCCCATGTTGATGAGAGAACTGCCATCAGACCATGTCGTCATGTCCAGTGACACAGAAGAAAACCACAGTACTGGTGCCAGCATTGTCAACAAAGAGACAGCAATCTAAGGATTTTACCTCCATCTTTGGAGGTGTTGTTTTGGGAATGTGTGTGTTTGCCTGTGTTTCTGTAGATATTTCCACAACCTAAGCACATCATAGACACTGACAGGAAGTTAGGTCAAGGGTCCCAGAATAGGTCCCTCTCATTCCTGTCTTCAATTTGCTGCTATATGCTTGTATGTTTCCAGAGAGAAATTTTCAAAATCAGCATGAAATTCATAAAAAATCATATTTCACAGAGGTCTGAGATCTTTAATATGTTAGCAAGTATGTACTAGCAGAAGGCAATTCTATTTTATCCACAATATATGAAATATTCTACTAATTCTAATATATATTTAGTGTTATGAATGGCATTGGTGCAATTTTACTACTGAGTATAATACGAGGATGGGAAAAGGTTTAGGTTTGTGAATATATGGACCATGCTCTTATCTTTCCAGTATGAAATGCAGCTTTGATTATATCAATTCAGACTATAACTCGTAAACTTCCACCCACAGCTGTTTTTACGACTTTACAAAGGGCAACTTCCGTTCTGACGTTATGAGATATTGACTTCAATAGATGATGCAGTTTTCATGTGAATGCTTCCATTAACCAGTGAATTTGCCAGTAAAAGTCTGGCACCATTCATTTCCTTCCAGTAATGACTATCAGGACTTCCAGTAAGTTAGACAAACATTAAAGTTCTGTGTGTATCTACTTCCAGCGATTGTGCGAACCAATTTCAAAATGCAATGGACTGATTCCATAAGATGATATGATTTTATATACTGAACCATATTAAGATTTAGATCTCAATTTAAGTCATCCATTTTGACAAATAACAGAGACCTGGAAGTGAACCTTGGAAGACTTTATGATGAGATTAAGAGGTTATAATCATAGCCTGTGATACACATGCACATATAAATGTTCAGGTTTAGCTTTAATCGTGCTGGATTATTACTGTACGAATACAGATTTGCAGATGTGCAGCTGCATGTGGCATGATAAAATGATAAATGTCATGGAGGAACAGTAAGTGCTTTGAAATTATATAGTGTACAGTATAATTATATTTTTAAGGTTGGCTGTAATTATATTTTGAAAGAGATTCTATGTCAGGGTAATGTATTTTGAGGTGTACATTTCACAGTTAAATGGATGACTATTTGAGTGTGTCACTTTGAGATGTCAGTGTAGTGAATATTTATTCAAGAGGCAATGCAGTAATACTAGAGGATTTTTTTTCTGGAAACATATTTTCACTGTATTTGATAAATGTATGTGTATAATGTGGGGACAGGGTAGCTTTTTATTGTCAATATATCTCACATAAAAAGGAAGGTCACTGAAAACCTGTAGAAGAGACAGAAATATTTTGTAAGAAGACCAGTGAAAATGCACTTTTCATTTTCAGTCAAGCTCGCGTTTTGTCATGTTGATAATGTGGAAACCAGATATTCTTTCCTTGTTACACTGTATATTGTACATTGTATGTACAACGCAATCCGTATTGCATTAAGTCCAGTCACATTCCATAAGTTCAGATTCTGGTCATGCAAAGAATTTTACTGCAGTGTTATGTTTGATACAAGATCTGGACCGCTTGTATAGAAAAGAAATATTCTAGTATATATATTATGGACATATATTATGGGCTGCTATTAAGTTTCTAAATTATGTCACCGACTTTGAAATTGGTTCCACATGTTACATAGCGTCTTAAGAAATGGTGTATATATTAAAGAGTACCACTGTATCCAGTTTAAAAGCAGGTCAAAATGGTTTCACTGTTTAAATGTTTACGTAACTGAAGTGTAATTTTCTGGGGACATGAAATAAAGGCGTTAGGGCGAAAACGTGAGCTAACCCTTCTGTCACTTATGTCCACTTGCCCCCAACAGCTTTCCTTTCACCCCCTTCCAATCTAAATCTAAAAGCTTGAAATTGGTCCTCCTGGCCATTCTCCAATCACAAGACTATTACTATGGCTAGACTATTACTAAGTCGTCGTTTCTGCGTCATATTCCACAAAACTAGTGCCTGGTGCATTGTGAGGCAAGTTTGGATGGTAGTTCTAAGTGTTAGCGGTGTAACTTGGTTGGGTTGTCAATTTTCATATAAGGGCCTTCCTGAGATTTTATCAACCCATGTGCAATGATGAAGTTCCTATACAAGTTTCCTCGAAGAATGTCGAATACAAACTTACTTCTTTGTTGTCCGTGAGCGGTTTCCACGATGGGATGTAAGTGCATGTGGGCGAAAGTTTGACTGTTCCGCCGGAAAGAACATTACTTAACTTTTTTCCAAGCAAGGGGCGTGTTGATACGCAAGCCGGAGTTTAATGACAGTGCTTTAGCCGGCGGCTTTAAGCTGGAACGCTGGCACAGTAGCTTTTAGCTAGGGAATGGCTTCAAATTCTGAGTGCCGTTTGCACACCGCGTAAACTTTACACGACTTTCCTCACTTAACTCAAGTGAAAATGAGAATTGTCCTGTCCTGTATTTGTCCCCTGCGTTGGTGGCGGCAATTGAGTGTGCCGTCAAAATGTCTAGTCATGAAATGTTCGGAAAAAAAGAGACGTTCAGCCACACGGGCTTGATGCCATTTCAACATTCGCATCCAATGTTGTGTCCAGGTTGCAAAACGCGGCACAAAGTGATCGCAATAACGCCAGATAAACAACAACGACAATTACTGATGCGTTCGTAATGTTACAATATGGCGTTGCAGTACGTAAAATAGAGTTGAGCCCCGTTGAGATGAGGAAGCTGACCGAATCACCAAGGCCTGTAGGAGAATCCATTAACTACTAGGACGTTAATTTGTACCATTGGAATACTATTTGCAACGGGGAACCAGCTGTCAAAGCCTGTTCGTGTGTGGACCATCGTCCTATCCGGGAAGTTTTGCAAGTATACGTACATGTAGAATGTGTGAGTTCAACACGTACAATCGAGATCAGCTGACGTGACGCATTTTAATTGGACGCCATAACCACTTAACAACATATGCGGTAAAGAGAAAAGTTCAGACGGTTATTCAAGCAAACACACAACTATGAGTTCCCACAAGAACATATAACGATCTGCCTGAAACCAAAACGCATCAATCACCATTGGCGTCCAACTGACTCAAGATCCGAGACATATTACCTGCTGCAAGGACGTTCAATATTACGTCCTTGGCAGACGTCGATAATGACTCGAAGCGACGAAAAAAACCGACCCACGGAATAACACCAATATCAATCAATATGTATAAGCAAATACAGTTATCATATCTAAATACATCTCCGGGTTGATAAATGTCTGGATACATTGATATATCGAGTATTGATGACTACATTAAATCGAAACATGTGCCATTAACAACGTCCACATTTTTCAAAGACTTTTTTCGATCAACGGTGCAAAGTCTGGACTGCCAACAATCCGTTATGCAATCATCAGCAACTATTTACAGGTTGCGGCCAGCGCAACTGTGGCGTTTTCGTGGCGAAAACATAGATATAGACTATCAAACACAAGTACTGCATCAATGCAGCATAAGCCAGCTAATGAACAACAGACCGACAGAACGTTAGACGAGTACCATCACGGAATAATAAAAACTCACCTCACAAAAGGGACAAAAATACACTACAGACGTTTGTAAAATTCTGGGTTATCTAACAACATAATATATATATCAGTACATGTCTATGTCATAACATCACGGCTACCACGACTGTCTTGGATTCTGGGTTACGCTATGTAGTCTGGAAACTATATGACATACGATATTAAATCTGTACACTTTCCATTGACCTTCATCACAAACCCTTTTCAGCAGGATCCAACAACAGCCGGGTTTCAAACAAGCGAACCTCTGGTTAGGAAGCAGTATTGCCACCGACTAGCCCCCGCACTTTATTTCGTGTAAGTAGAAGAGAGACCGAAGAGAGGATGTTTCACCCTACGCTGCCCTACCTCATCTCTCTCACAGAGGGACAGGCAGACAGCGACACACGCGTGCAAGCAAGCACGAACGAACGAACGAACGCACACACACGTGCACACACGCGCGCAGATACGCACGCACACTTTCATGCATACACATAGCACGTAGACAGGTACTTTATTAGACAGGGTATCACAGTCATACGGCCATCCACATTCAATTTTGATGTCAGAATATCCCCTCGGTACTAAAATGCTAATGGTCCTGTACTAGCGGTAGCCGCTCAGACTGATTGACCAACTGTTGAGGCTTCTACATCTGCCCAGGCAGGTTCTTCATCTCCTGTGCCGGCTGAGAGATCGGGGTCCGCCCGGTGCGTAACCCCGTCCTGTTGTAGTTGTTGTCGTTGATGCCGGGCCCGTTGGCGCCAGCCGCCACGGCGTTGACGTCATCGATGGGGTGGACCTGTGTGCCGCAGCAGCTGCCCCGGCACGACAGCGCCTCCAGGGTGCGCTTCCGGAACTTTGAGCTGAACAGCACGTAGATGATGGGGTTGACGCAGCTGTTGGCGTAGCCGAGACCGATGCTGAAGAAGTAGGCCACCAGGAAGGCGTAGGTCGGACGGACATCATTGGTGATGTTGATGAGCGCCACGACGTAGAACGGCAGCCAGCAGACCACAAACATCACAACAACCAGGAGCACCATCTTGGCAACCTGTACCAGCGGCAAACATGTACGGTTGACGAAGGGTTAATGCAAAGGATTGAGCCAACGTTTCGTCAAATCTTTCTTCAACAGAAGTCAACATTCCATATTAAAACTAATCGGTAAAGTAGAATGTATTGTTTGTTTGTTTGTTTGTTTCTTGGTTTGTTTGTCTGTTTGTCTGTTGGTTTATTTGTTTGTTTGAATTTCCACCCACCTTCTTCGTTCGTTTCTCAGCGTTGGACTCGGATGGCACGACAACAGTGGCGAGCTTGTGGAGCACCATCAGGTAGCACACGGTGATGACAGTCAGGGGCAGGACAAAGGCCAGGGTAAAGTGATACACAGTGAACCAGTACAGGTCTTTGGAACCCTGAAACAAGTGTGAAACAATAGCTGTTAATCTATCTTCACTGACCCGCGACCTCTACCCTTCAAATGTATAACCGCTTCAAGGTTAGTTGGAAGATTAAAGGATGTTCAGGTGATGTTTGATAGATGCGTCTGGTCTGCAAAGAGCACGCGAGCGTGGTGAGCTCCGACGAAACACTAATCTTAATGGACATCCGTTCACGGAAAGGTCTCTTCGGGATGACATTTGGAGTCTGCTTCGTGCCTCCCACCAAAATTACGTGCGTCAACACAGAGTCCTATTGGTTATCAAGATGCAGCAACCCATCAAGGTCGACTTGTTCACCGCATCAATCTTTGGTATTCGTCCAAACAATGTTACATAATTGTATCACGAGGTTTATTTAAGAACACGATCAATTCCAGCAAGAACTTCCAACAAGAACTTTGGTAAGTTTTACCTTCGGAAATTGTAGTTCGCAAATCTGGCTGCCGTCAGGGTAAATCTCCAGGCTAGAGAAGACCCAGAAGGGCGCGATGGAGACCAGGGACGCCAGCCAGATCCCGACATTCGTGATGGCGGCGACTTTCCTGGTGCGGATGCCCAGCGAGCGGATGGGGTGCCCGATGGCCAGGTACCGGTCGATACTCATGCAGGCCAGGATGTAGACGCTGGCGAACTGGTTGTTGGCGTCCAGGGCGTAGATGAGCTTGCACATGACCGCCCCGAACGGCCACTCGTCAGCCACGAACTGGTGCGCGAAGAACGGCACGCCAAGCAGGAACACCTCGTCCGCCAGCGCCATGTTGAAGATGAAGACATCCGCCGTGTTGCGGAGCTTCGAGTACCGAACCAAGACATACATGACCTGCAGATGGGAAAGTGACGTATCATGGAATCATCTCTATCGTCTGTAATGATTCTATAGGCAATGATAGCTCAAATCAACCACTGCGCCTATATTTGTACGTCCTGTGTTTGAATACAGAAAAATAGTATACATACGGATAGAGATCCGTTGATAGAAATATACAGAAACAACCAGAACCCTTACCAAAGTGTTCCCAAGGAGACCGACCACACAGATGACGTAGAGAACCACCGACATGGTGACTCTGATGGTGTTCAGTTGCCCCACGTTGCTGTTCCATATCTGGGATGCGTTCGCGGAAGTGTTGAACTCGTCCTCTTCAACTTCCATCTTGTGGTTTTCTTAAGACTGTCTTCTTTCGGACGTGAAATCTGAGAGAATTCGAGAGATCTGTGTTATAGTCCATGCTTCATTGCAAGAAACGCTTAGCTGCTTTGTATTTATTACCTTTGGTATCTTTTGAATAGAGGAGACAGGAGAAAAGCAGCTGCAACACTCATCACATGGAAGAGCCGAAGTTATAGAAACAGGATGAGGGAGATATGGCGATGACGCAAATATGAATAAAAAGTTGGTATATCCCTTCACCAGAAAATGGATCAATTTTTGCAGCATCGTTGACTCAACAAGTGGTTGCTTCAAGGTAATCCGTTAACCGAAGAACACTTCGAAGCAAGATTACAAATAAAAGCTTAGATTGAACGTGGTACGTCTTTTGCAAGTTGTACGCGAATGGTTTTCCTCATAATCATTGTTACAAGTACAAAGAGCGCTCATGTGCGCGAAGAGCTGTATTCATTATACCGCTGTTAAGCCAGCGAGTAAAATTGATCGTCTCCTACCCTGTGATATATCTGCCGTAATCCATGATTGTAATTCACGGAGTGGCGCCAGGATTTTACCCTTCCGGGCTGAAATGGATAGTTTGATATTCACGGTTCGCTCAAAGCCAAGTACGCCGCCGCGCCCCGGTCAGACTAACCTACCAATCTGCCTGATCTTCTACTGCTGGGTCTATAAAACAGTCCTTGGACCCGATCCAGGAATTCCATGGGGCATTGAAGAAAGATATCAAACCGAGAAAGGTAATACCAGATATTATTCCACCGTCTTCTTCAAGCCAGGCTGAATTCTTTTTGCCTCTGGCTGTTTTTCATTAAAATGTATGCCTCTAAAGTCGTATTACAGTTATTTCACGGCTAGGTTGACTGCTTCAGGAATCCTCCGGGGATTAGAGGCGAGGGAGATTGTCGTCTGTCGGGGTCTCAATGGAGCTGAAATCTTTCAGAGAAGCCTCCTGGTTTCTGTTTTCATATTCACAAGGTCAAGGCACTACATGATAGAATTCCAGAAGGTCAGGACATTGCATGATATAATTCCTAACGTATTGTAGCCTAAAACCCGTCATACAAACCTTGCCCTGCTCAGTGACCTTCTACCCTTTTCTTTTAAATTGCTGTGCAAAGTTCAGCTCAAATCTTCTGGGCAGAATATTGAAAAAGCTGTCGCTCAGTCAGGAATACTAGTAGGTCGAGGTTTGGATGCCGCCTCTGTTGACTACTGATGTCTGTGTCAGTAGACGTGTTATGCCGTTGCTTTTGCTTTAATGGCACGATTTACACATTTGTATGAAGCAATATACAAGATGTGTGCCCGTCTGACATTCAGGATTACGGATGGCGAAATGCATTTTGCTTACATACAATACTTCTATGTTTTTCGCCCACTTACGCGTACCGCATCGTCAGTATAAATATAAATAAGATAAATATCTTAGGGCCCTGTCATATTGTTGCGTGTCTTGTGTGTACGGCTGTATATGAAAGAAAGGTCTGTACGCCACTCAAGTGCAATGAGGATACGCAGAAGTGTGACTGGTAAACAGGTCTTAACAAGTCACTCCAAAACTTTGTATCTACCGTTTTATACAAACCATGGAGACAGAATACCAGTATTGCTCTTGAAGGGACGAATCAGTCAATAACACTAACTACTTCTGCGACATGCGAAACAACATGTGGCTCATTACCGCAGCGTTTCAGCTGTTAACGCGACTAAAGAAAATGTTCTTACAGACATGAACTTCCTCAAATGTTGCATAAGAGAGGCATTAGTCTTATTGCAGAAGGTTAATGTAACATGTGGCATTTTACTAACAACGTCTCAAGAGCTTAAGTGCGTCGTTACCTTCTGTCTGAAGCACTGTCGAACCTTTCAAAATAAATGAGTTTTAGCGACTCACTCTAATTAAGATCCTTCCACACAGCAGTCTAGTTGTTAACGCAAAGTCGTGCGTCAGTGAAAATTGATTAAGTTTCACAAAGCTAGACCTTTTGACACAGCAGCACTCCTCTAAAGTATCTGCAGATCAGCTCAAACTTCTGAACCCAACCGTAGAAATCCCGTAAGGTGGCTGAGTTAAGTAGATTTTACATTGAACACACGCAGATCTAACTCGTAATTTGGCGAAAAGCAAGACGTTCAGTTGCACCTAATGCCGACTTGCTAATAATACTAGTGACGAATGAAGTTATCGGTAACATTAAAAGATCTGGCCATGACGAGCGTCATATCTACGCGAATGAGGACAAAATTATGCATCAAGCTGCAGATGTTAGTGACAATCATATGTACTGAGCTGTGTTCATAAGACCAGCAGACGTTCTAAGCCATTTAAACTGCCCTAGAATGGCCTCATGGAACGACCATTTGCTTATCCACTTGAAGTCCATTACCTACTTAGATGTCTGCAAAGCTCTTTTGTATTTGGTAGATGCGTTCAATGCCTTCCGCACACATGTGCAGGCAAATACGCCTGTTTATGTTATCAGCGATGTCTGTCCTTGGTGCTGAACGACACTCACGCATATGAAAAAGCTCTTATAGCATCGTTTTGAGCCTATCAACGACATATATCTAATCCTTGGCTGTCTGACTGCATGAAAGCCCCAGAATCGTTTGATGTTAAACCTACCTTCAGAATTGGATCTCCATGATTTGTGTGTATCTAGAATAAATCATGCCCAGGAGTGCAGTACGCTCACCACCAGGAATGTATGTCTCTCGATCTGTCACCAATGGCTTTCTGGTCTGAGATACGACGGGAAGTGTAGACCGTATTGCCAGATAGTCAAGCCTGACAGATGGCCATGCTTTCTGTTTGTCGTCAAACGGATTTCGACAGAAACGAAGATGGCCACCTAGGCTACGCCTATTATTTCAGGTCTTCAGAAGTTGTTTCAGAAGATTAAGCCGCGGCAAGAGAACGCAGGGACTAAACTCCAGGGACTAAACTCACGTTTAAGCGGCCACAAATCTTCGAGCTTTGGGTGTAATATTAGGCTAAGATGAGCTGTATACACTTGTCTGTTCTGATCGCTAAGATAGTAGAACAGAGTGAGCTGAGAATCATTCAAAACGCTCCCTGATGAGTGTTACACCGATGGACTCAGGTCACTTGAGAGTTGGAGTCGATGAGGAAGGTAATAGATGTTTGAAATGGTAACTTCCAAGGAGACATTTGACAAGGGTGGCCAGGAACGGACATGTCTAGTCTGTTATCGGTTAGACCGTCGGTTGTCCTGGTCGCATCCTGCAAAGGCTATACCCACCACAACTCCACATATAAACTACTTACGGATACCCGCTAGTATAACCTTGATTGCTGATGGCATGGTGTTCCCTGATCAAAGGAAGAGTCCAGTCTGTGCATCTCATACAGACGGCCACTTCAAACAACGCCTCGATCTTTCCGGAGAAACATGACGTACGGCTGTTGCATGATTTCGGGGAATGCAAATTTGAAGGAGAGGCTGTCAACGCAGCCCGGATATAATCGGCAATTACTGTGTCTTGTGTTAGGCTGGGGTGCCGAGAGATCTTTCATGGCGCGCGAACTTGCTCGAAGGGGCAATGTAGGAAGGCAGTTCCAGCCATCAAGGTTCTGTGGTTCAACGAGCTCAGTCTAAGAAGTTGTCAAACGGCGTCATTTTGGCGGGAATGAATGGCCACATTCACTCAGATCTAAGAGCAAAAGTAAGACTGATGGTGCCATAGCGCACATGGATAAATCAGATGGGTAGTTCGGGAAAGGTTCTGGGAAAATTGCTGACACCAAATGTTGGCCTCATCACGTTGTCTGAATGAACTGCATCCCCAAACTGCCCACTTATAGTCATAATAGATTTCAGTTACTCACACTAAGTCCAGGGAAACGAGAAAGGCCGTGCAGTGTCTTTGTAGGTATGTTGAAGAACACCGCTATCTAAGACCTTACGTTTCACAATAAATTTCTCAGCGCACAACGTTTGTGACGTCTAACAGTGCGTCAAGCATCAATCTTACAAAGACACACGCACGTGTTCGTGTATTTTGCTTCTACCATCTCGGCGTGGCCAGCGAAGAAATATAATACAAACAAAGAGAAAGTCTTACTCACTCATCTTTTCCTTCCTACTGGAGAAACATTAGGTCACAATCCTAGTCTTCCACTCCGTCACTACTCTAAGCTTTGGCTACGGCACAAGTGATGCAAATCAAGGTATTTAGAGCCAATAACATCGTTCAGCTAGTTAATAAATTCAGTGCACATATTGATTTATGGCTTTGATCCATGTACTAGTAATTCATGATACGGATGTGAGTTAATATGTACTTGCGGATATAATTTCAAAATAACTATTCATTATCAAAAGTCTCTGATTACTTGAAATTAATACAGGCTTCCATGTGGGACCAGATCATACTTATTAGATACAACAAAGGTACACCGTCGCCCGTTATCACAATTATGTTTCGGACTTGACACATTATTTATTTGACATTTTTGTATACTCTCATCTTTGATAAAGGTTTGCATATGAGATCAGATCATACCGACATACGCATTAGATACAGGAAAGGGTCAAATCGTTTATACACAATTGCGGTACATTAGGATAACTGACTACGTATTTAAAGTGTATTGCGGCAGACATGTTGGGGTAACCGCACAATATATTATATAGGAACATGTTTTGTTGGGACCTCCGACATTAGGTTTACCCTATTGCTATATCTTCACAGCGTCCCTTTCTAGCGCACTGTTAGGAAGATCAATAACCTAAATGCATTAAGAGTAATCTTTCTGACGTATTTTACCCGTTTTGCCATTAGCAACCAGTTCCATCCACCTGTTGTTTCAAAGAGAACGCCATCAGCGATAGACAAGAAAGATGTGTGGGAGTTTCCAGTGGTGCAGGATAGAGTTGGACAGATCAGATAGTTTCAATTAATGTTCCTTTAATTGGAACTGAGCAGTTGCTGTACAACACTTGTGTAAACGCTGTGTTTTTCATTAGCTAAAATAATTTATGACCAAGGTGTACCATCA